AAAATAAACACTTAGAAATGTGAGGAACTTAAGGGTGACATGGGGTTTCACGAAATTATAAACATGCAGAGCAAAGAGAAACAGGAAATGCCTGGACCACACTGAAAAGAAAATCTGGAGACATTATACTATTTCACTATCCTGTTATGTGGATTCCAGCATTTGTCTCTTCTCTTCTTCTTTTTGTCTTTATGAATTCAGCAACTTAATACACACTACTGGCAAGAAAACGATCTTACATGCAGTAAACAGAATAAGAATTGTGTTCTAATCAACCTATACAACAACATTTGTATGGAGAGCAACATGTTTTCACCTGTAAAAGGGGTCATCTTTAGGCTCATATTGTTTATATTTGCAATATAAATTAAAACTGTCTGTGATTTTGTTAGCCTCCACCAGTACAATGACTACTTCATATTATTGTTGCTACAAGTAAATTGTTAAAAAATTTAAGTCTATGTTGTTACAATACTGTTTGTACTGACACTCAACAGCACTTATAGTAAAGAAGTAATTGACACTACATTCTCATCAATCAATCCAGAGGTATTTCATGGGTTTGACAAGTCAACATCATTCCTCACTGGTGCTTCACTTTTGACCTTGCTCTTATCATGACTGAGAGTAAGAGTAATAAAGTTATTTAATTACTTACATATTGTTATTCCTCCATTTTGGATAATCTAACTAATTAACTTACATTAGCAAGTTTGTCATTCATGCTTAGTTTCATTGCACTCTGCATCAAGTCTGTCAGAGTGCTAATCGATGAACTAGTTGTTTGAATCAGCGAAACAATTATTGCTGAGTAGGATGTAAGCAGGAACAGAGAAAGTAACATCATAAAGATGAATACCATCCTGGAAGCAAGGTTCTTGGGGATGTTTTCTGTGCCTAAAGAGAAAATATTGTAACATTAATGTTATGAGAAACACCCCTTGGTTTATCACTTATATGTCTGTTCACGGCACAGTGACCACTGGGCCCTTTAAAAAATTTGAAACACAACTGAGCTTATAAATAATAGTGTTACATAATATAAAACAAAAGACAGACAATCTAATAGAAAGTTCGTTTGGAAATAAATGCAGAAAAATTGTTATATATACACACACACCTAATAAATCATACGAAAAGGTGGCAAAGTACTGGTATTTTGGAATGACACTGAGATATCAAAATGATATTCATAATGAAATTAAAATTTGGGAACTGCTTGCTTGCTTGCTGTCATTCATCATCATCATAATAATTGGCAAATGAGCCCTTTTAGAGTCATAGCCTTCCTTAGAAGATTCTGCCAGATTCATCTGTTCCTGGCTATTGCTGCCTACATAACGTATAGTGGGACAGCTTTACTTACTTCTACTGAGTGGTATAAATTATTACACTGCTCACCTTGTTGACACACAATTCCAACTGTGTCCAACACAGCATCACTCCATGAAACTGGATGATCAGGTGATGATAATGGCCTGACATGTCTCTCAACATGTTGGACAAAGACCAATACAATAGTCAAGAAGGCCACAGTTAATATATAAGTTGCCCATACTGATGAACTGAATGGTAATTCATAAATTATCGATACCTCAGATAATGATGGCTTCAGAAACATAAATGCACCCCTGGGGAAGAGGAAATGACAGTTGGTCAGGCATGTATATTTTCAAATGTACACTTGATTTTTCCTAATATATTTGTTCCTTTCTGTCTGCATATGTCTGTACAGTGTGTAGCGTGCATGACCAATCAAACTTCTTGCCTGAATTTTGTAATCTCCGTAACATAATCAATAACATCCATACGCTCCATCTTCCACATGACTCCAGTGGCAGAGATCTCACATTCACCACACTGCAGTGTCCCAACTATACCACTGAAGCAGTCAGGTCCTTCTTCTGGATACCCCCATGTGTCTGTTAAGGTTATATTCATCCTGCCAATATATTTGAAAGAAATTATTTTACATGTATACATACATACAAAAAAATGCAGGTTATTAAAAAAATTTAATACTTGAACAAACAGTTTCATTATCTCTCTGATTTCCCTAGCTTGACTACAGCTCTGGATATCCTGATGCAGAAATCCTGGGGAAAAGGATAGGTCAAAAGGATAAAAACTAACTATTACAAGAGAGTGAGAAAATCACATAATGAGGAACTTCATAATTGTTTTCCTTCAACTAATATTGTTAGTATAATTAAATAAAAGAAATGTGATGGGCAGGGCATGTAGTACATACGGGGAAAACAAATAATGTAAAGTTGCAGTTGAAAAGCCTCAAGGGAAGGAACCACTTGGGAGACATTGACATAAATGTGCAGATAAAACTGAAATGGATCTTTTAGAAATAGTGTGTTAAGAGATAAACTAAATTAAACTCCTTAGGACAAGTCCAATGGCAGCTTCTTGTGAACATGGTAAAAAAGAAACTACTGAACCAGCTGGAAAACTATCAGATTTTCAAAGAAAACCCTGCTCTATGGAACTAGTAGCACACAGTTTTCATGTTAAGATTATAGCTTTTTATTTTATTATACTGAAAGCATCAACTGTTTTATAATAGAAAAGAACACGATTCAAAACTTACCTGAAGTTTAGCATTTCAGATACATAGGTCATTAAGACATAATTAATTTTGGATTCTGTGTTGAGATGTCTGTAGTTAAGGTCTGTGTGTGTATCCCATGTACCATCCACCACCTAAAGAATGAAGTAAACAGTACATTTATGTTAGTGTAAGTCTTATGTATACAGGGGATTCTGGTTAATTTGGACACATTGGGACTAGAACATTTTGGCCCAATTAAGCGGCTGCCCCAATTATGCTAAGTTCCACGTAATGAGTTTAAAGGGTTTAAAACAAAATACAAACTCCCATGTATTGAGATGATTTACTGAGAAGAAAAAAATGAACTAATTCTGGAACAAATGGTACAGACCAGAGAAAAATATTTACACTAAAACAATTTCAATATCATCAGGTTCCCAAATTAACCTTTATCGATTATATGTCGCATCTTATAGTCAGTCCAGCTCCATTGTACTAGCATACTACTGAACGGTTAATCCAAATGTTGAAGTCCAGCTTGAAGCCCCAATGTTTAAATCCTCTATTACCATATGATATATGTTAATGAACAATGTTACCAATTTTAACTGTAATGCTAAAATTGATTAGAGCTATGGGTATATTTCAATTATGTACTGTGATCCCAAAAGGAAATTGCAGAGAAAACCTGTAGTGGGATCATTAAGAAGACCAATGACAGGTGGAGAGACCTAACTGAGGGAGAATAAACAAAAGAAAGTATAGAAAGAGTGAATAAAGATGAAAGGGGAATGCTCGTAGGAACACAGAAAAAAATTTAAGAGGCATTCTATTAAGGTTGCCAATGCTGGTACAAATGTCAATGGATGGCAGTTAAATGATACTTACTAAAACAGAAGTCCTTAAATGAATCCCATTATAATTGTCTATCTGAGATCCAGGAGAAATGAGTTGTCCTGAAGTCCAATCACGAGGTGGTGTGATTATTAAAGGATCTTGGCGTCCAATCCTGTACACATCTTGAAGTAGAACTTGTTTCAAACTGGATCCAATATGTGCTATAGTCACATGACTGTCTAACTGCAGGTCAAATGGTTCCAGAGTAGTGATTAGTGGGTCCACACTCAGTGACAGAGTCTTTTCAGACAACAGCAACCAATGGTGCAGACTGCTGAAATGCTTCTCTTTAGATGCCTGTTAACATAATTTGGGTTACTCTGTAGCACAGGGTGACAATTTTTAAAAAAATAAGAAAACTGATATTCACACAAGAACAACAAACATGTATGGCTGAGCAATGAATTACGCATTTCATTTACTTTGACTGCAACAGTTTTAAAGCAAAGAAATTAAAATAGTCATTATATAGAATTTTAACATACCACTAAAAAACTGTCACAGCCATTAAATTGGTATTTTTTTTATTTTAGAAATGGCTCTTAGATGATTACCAATGGCATGGCCTTCTTTTAGAATTTGATGAAAATGAGATTCAGGTTGGTAGAGGAAATGGAGACACAATAAACACAGCCCTCCAGTTAAGAAACACTGTTGCATATAACAGAAGCTTACTGAATATTTACTAATTTTGTAATGAACACTCCTACCAATTCACAGTACAAAAGAATGGATGGGTATATTCAATTGAGAAATATACATATCCTCCAAATGTGTTCTTTACCATTTTACATCATTCTTTATGTTCATTTACTGCACATACAAACCTACAGTTGTACGCTACTGATATTATGCAGTTACGGTCTGAAAATATTTGTCTAGTATTTTCCTAATATTCATCCAATCTAAACATGTTTCAAGCAAAAATTTTAGATCTTAATGAGATCTGTAATATACAATTTAACAATCTTTGTTTATTAAGCTGTTGTGGGAAAAGTCAGTGCAGAGTGATTTAAGGTTCATGTAAATTAGGGGTTATTATTACAGTAGTAAATGAAATCCAACAGTAGTTTAAGAGATGAAATGGGCAGATGTACAGACAGGTATTGCCTCTCCATTAAGCACTTATTTATAAACTTTGTACATAAAGTCCATAGAAACAGTTAAAATGTAAAATACAATTTGGATCACAAAAGGTAGTTACTCATTTCTGTGAACCTTCCTGGCTTGGTTTGGTTTTGAAAGTTTGGATAGATTAGGTTACGTTAATTTAAGTGTTCACATTAAAAAAACAATATACTCTATTCTATTATCAGTTTATCATCTGTCTGCTGGCAACACCTAAACACCAAGCAGGATAGCTTAGCAGTATTTGAACTATCTCATTTTTGGGGAGTACCTGCTTTAAATCCTGACCAACAATAACTGAATAATTGCCTTTGCTGACTGAGGTTTATCATAATTTTCCTTAGACCCTACAGCAAATGATTACTTTGTACCTTAAAGTATGACCATTTCCTCCTGCTTTACACACTTTTATATAATTTTAAGAGTTCACCCAATGCTTCATACTGTGTGAGTGAAATTAAATCCAAAAGAAAACTGACACCTTTTTGGTGTCATTCAGTATACTTTCATCCCTACCTGAGCAAGTAGATAACCACTGCCACTACAACTAAGGTCCAGAATAACTGCCAAATGGTGATACTGAGTCATCAGCATTTTTGGATCTACATCCTGGTCTAGCGAATATACTGTCAGATGAATTCCATTGGAGGACCATAGTTTGGTCTGGTTTACATTGTCTGGTGAGTATGAATTGAACACAATATTAGAACATAAAACATTTAAAAATATATCTGAGTCTCAGGAATTTGAGATGAAGAATATAGAAAAAATTCTTACTCTTACAGATCAGGCTCCACAGAATTGCTTTAAAAGGGGTTATAGAATTCAAAATGTCATTTTCATTTCATCCCTGACAAAATTATTCTATCTCTCCTTCATCTTTGACACGATGAAGATAATTATTCACAGGTCATTGGCAATAATACTTTGGCCCAGGAGAAATTTTACATGTATCTTGGGAGGATAACATTAAAATGGAACTCAGTGATATTTGAGAATACTTTTATCATATTTAACTTGTTTTTAATTTTTTGGTTATAATGTTTTGTGATGCATGTAACAAACAACTTGTTTTCTCAGTCTATCCTAGGTATGCAGATTTAAAGGAATACAGGTAGCCCTCGATTTACGCCGGGATGTGTTCCTGGACGAACTGGCGTAAATTGAAAATCTTTAATAATGTAAATCAATGGGAAGTCAATGACATGCGTTCCCAGCACCCAAACATTGACGAGTAATATAGTGGCATTACATTTAAAGCTCTGAAATAACGTAAATAAAATAAAGGGAATTTAAAAAATATATTTTATACACTTACAATCGGCAATTCGTTGGTCCCCGCGATTGACTGCGATTCTTTCATGTGA